GCCCTCCACAGACGTTACAACCAGAAGGTCCCTCTCTGCCTGTTTAAATCTCTCATAAACCCGTTCAAAAAAAAAATCTGTTTCGGCCCACAACAGCGATCTTAATTAGTTTCGATATAAATCTATTGTTCATTTATTCTACTCCCTCATCCATATTAACGCTCCTAGACCTGTCCCAAAAATTTCAAAACCTTCCACACGTTCTCTTGTTTTCATTATTTGCAGCTGCTTAATTGTCCATTATTTGCATTTTACAACCTCCCTCCACTTTATGACAAAATAGTTTAGGTAAGTTGATCCCAATAGCTTACTAAGATTAAGGTATACCTTCAGGTTTAGAGATCACTTACAGATCGCCCATAAACAAGATTATTAAATAGGCTGATAGGCAGTGGAATTCTAATTTACAACATTATAAGTTATGAGTTTTTTTGGTATAATAAGCTATGAGTTGACTCCTTGCTAACCAGACTAACTCTTGTTGGTACCTCCATTCACGTTGCTTAATGGGATCACATGCTGATAGCCCAACTATTACTGGGCCGTAACAAGGATGGGCCTCAGGTACCCATCTTGTTTATAGTTCATGCTTCTCCTCTCTGATGGGTTTGGCCCACTAGTTTCGGCGCCTGCACAGTGATTACACAAAGTCTTGGTCATGGACTCGACAACATCTGGCCCTTCATCACTCTCGATGACTTTTCTTCTCTTCCTCTCATGATCTGTCTCGAGTCTTATTGTTCTTGCATATTAACGGGGAGGCATAAATAATACCAAAAACTATGTGTATTTTTTTAAAAAAAAATCAACTAACTCTTATATTATACTCCCTCTAGTTTTAAACATAAGACTTATTTGGTAATGTAAACTACGTTACAAAATTAATCTTATATTTAGGATTAGAGGAGTAGTTTTTTTCCCTTCAAAATTTCAAAGATCAGACTGGAACTCTCAGCAAACTAGGTCTAGATTTGCTTAGTAACTCGTGGAGCTTTAAATATGATCAGTTCTGTATAATTTATAACTGCTAATTTTGTCTCTGGCCGAAGGAGCACCCTCAGTTTTTAAAAATGTATCAGGGGTTAAGATAAGAGGCTTGAAATTTCGCAGTTCGAAGTACCCTGGGGGGGGGGGGGGACAAGACTTGAATTTTGTAATTTTGAATCACTTAAGATGTGAATTCGAGGGTGTATGATTTCTTAAATTTTTTTTATTATAACTTTTGAAAATATCATTTGAATTTTATAATGACAACTTGTTCAAAAAATAAACTTATAGTCAAAAAAAAGGGCTCTTTTCATCTATGAAGTCAAGTCAAACTAGGACCAACAATTATTCACCTATCAAAATAAAATTTTAGTATGTACAAATAAAATTACAACTTTGCATTTTAAATTAAAAATCTCGATATCAAAGTCTCTTGAAAATAATTTCAATTCACATTGCCTGGACGATAATTTTTACTGAAGAAGGAAAACAGAAACACCAAATAAGTGGAAAGAAAGAGAAAAAGAGGACTGCTTGGAGTTCTTTTGATGTTCTAGGGAAAAAATGTAGTCAGTGACCTTGCAACGATGTGGTATGAAAATTCTTTTATAAAAAAAAAAAAAATGGTCGATTTAACTTTTCTTTACTTGGCCCCGTGATTTAAGAAGAGGAGCCTTCTTTCTCTCAGCCTTGTTTACAGGTTAGATTTCCGCATTCATTTGCCATATTGTTGTAATTATCTGCAGCTGGACTTGGAGGTAATCATTTTTTTCATTTAAAACATGTATGTAATTGTCACTATAATAAATAGTAGGGTTGAGGTCTAAAGGTTTAAATTAACAAAAATATTATACCAATAAAGGTTGAGTCTAATAAAAAAAATGAGTCCCTCACAAAATCAAAAATCAATATTCAAATTCTCACTTAAATGAGTGCCAATATTTACTATCTAACAGTGTTTCAAATATAATTATTTTTAATAGGAGGATACTTGTGCATAGGAAAAAAATTGTACTAAGAGACTAAAATAAAAATGTTTTATTCTAAACGTCAAGATTCTTGGATGAAAAAAATTAAATTGTGATGGTTTTAATCATATACTTACCTTAAAAAGCTGTCTTTAAACGGTCTTAATATCATTTTAAACCAGTACTACGGCTTGAGCTACAGCTAAATATTCCCGGGACTAGGGAACGCTAATTTGCCTGTTGAAACTTGATGGATCCAATGTTTGATTATTTTTTTTTCCCCATTTTAAAAATATAGAAATATTCAAATTTCATTCGCAGTCTTCCTCCCCCCAAAAAAGCAAAAACCTCACCCAGCCGCGTCTTTCAGGAGTCGATGGCAGGTCTCATCTGCAGGAGGACAGCGTGGTAATCACATACGGGGGATTTGAGGGAAGCGAGGGGAGGGTGAGAGATTGGAAGGGGAAAATCGCGTGGGGTAAAGCAGCCCAAAGTGACCCGCTGGCAAGGATGAATGAGAGGGAGACACGTAAGCAAATCGGAATCAGGAAGATGCTTAGGCTGCCACGTAGGCGGAAGAAATATCCCAGGCTATGAGAAGTACAGAGGAAATATGGGGGAGGGCACATACAGACCACAGAAAGTATTACGCCGGACGAGGAGCGCACACGTGGCATCATTGTCCACCACAAAACCACTCCCCCAATGCCTTTCGTTGTTATGGTTCCTGCTCTCCCTGCACGCTACTCTGCCATCCGTACCATCCGCTGTCAAATCGCAATTATAACCCCCCAGTTCCTCCGCCCCCCGCCCCTCTCTCTTTTCATATTCTTTTTTCTAAAACTTCTCCGAAAATATATATTATTGAGAAAATCGTTAAAAAGGATCCTAAAAATTAAAAAATTATACATAGAGACTCGTTTAAAAAAATTGCTATCAAGCCCTATATTTTTGTTGTCAAAACTTAAACTAATATTTTCATAAGTTTTTATCTGTAATTTTTTTTATTTTAGCAGTTTTTTGTGATTTTTCCTAAATTTTTCCTCTTTTTTCTTACCCTTCAAATTTTAAAAAGTATTTTATCACATAATTTTGATTCAATTTCACGTCACTCTTATTCATCATAAAAAAATAATTTTCAAACCAAAAATCAATTTTATCGCCCCAAAAAATTATCAACATACTAGTACTAAAAATCGATATCCATACACTTAAAATATAAAACTTATATTTAATGGGTACTATTTCCAAATTGAATGCAGGAAACAATGTGGAAGTAGTTGATTTTGTGAGCGTCAATAAACACACAGTTAAAAAAAGCAAATGAGTGCTTCTAAATTTTTCTGCAGAAAAATATTTTTTTATTTTCAGTTAGTTTATTATTTTATTAGTGACGCATAAAATTTTAGAAGAATTTATACATACGAATTAAGTTCAAGAAATTATTTCCATAAAAAGTATTCATGTAATTAAATGTATTTTATTTTATATTTAAAAAAGATTGAAAATTTTCATACCATAAGTGAAAAAAGAAGAAGATAATATTGTAAAATGCTATCAAACCAAATTAAATTAGTTTTTTTTTACCAGAAAATTAAATTAGTTAGTTGTTTCGATATCTGATGATAAAATCTAAATAGATGTCCCTGACAGCGGATAATAAGACTAAAAAGTCAAATCAAATCACAACATTATCGACAAACAAAAATCACACTCACCAACTGTTCATTTATATACATGCATAAGTGTTTACAAAATCTAAATATTAAAGGGAAAATCCTAAAAAAAGTCCTTGAAATATGGGAAATGTCAGATTGGGTTCTTAAATTTTGAAAATGACAGAATGGGCCATTGACCCAATCTGTCATTTGTGAAATTCAGGCGAATTGACAATTTTACCCTCATTTATTCATTCACTACAATGATTCAAGGAATCACTATAAGAGTTTAGGTGTTACTTAGATTCGTGTAGCGAATAACTACTCACTTTTTCATAGTCAGGTGTCTTGTTATTAACTACAACTAATTCTGTAATCACTAGAACAATGTAAGCATTACCTAGATTTGTGTAGAGAATAACTATTCATTTTTTCATAGTCAGGTATCTTATTATTGTCAGGTACCTTATTATTAACTACAACGAATCTTGTAATCACTAGAACAGTATAAGTGTTACCTAGATTTGTTTAGAGAATAACTACTCACTTTTGCTCAGGGCAAAAATGTCAATTCGCCTGAATTTCACAAATGACATATTGGGTCAATGACCCATTCTGTCATTTTCAAAATTTAAGGACCCAATTTGAAATTTAGTATATTCCAAGGGCTTTTTCTGGGATTTTCCCAATATTAAATTCATTGGCTGGTTAAAAAAAAAAAAATTCATTGAATGCATCCCAAAAGTCGGAGGAGGTAAGTTCACTAAGTTTGGTCCAAATGCACAGCTCACTGTAGCTTGAATATTATAAATAAAATCTCAATTGACACAATAATCTTGATAAATATTGACGGAGTCATTTGATATCTTATACTCCCTCCTCTTTCTGTTCAGATTATAAACTTCAAATAATTAATTTATAAATAATAAATAATTAGTTAAAATAAATTAAAAAACAAATAGATTAAAAATATTTTTTATTTTTAAATATACTCTTTCAATAAATAAAAAAAGAAAAAACAGGAAAGAGCATATATGAAAAAATATAATAAAAAAATATGTTACATTAAACAATAAGAGAAATATTAAACTGAAACTTATAAAATGCACACACTTTTTTTTTTTAATTTGAAGCAATAAATAGCACGGAGTGAGTAATTTGGAAGGTGGCCAAAGAAGGTATTGCAGGCTTGCAGCGAAGTCTGCTGGAGCATAGAGTTGGGGTCAGTTCCGGGATTCCACGGAAAATCTTCTCCTTTTCTCTTCTTTCCGCCGTTCATCTATTAGCGGAACAGAGGATATTCGTATAAAAAGGAAATGAGAGCAAGAAATCACATAGAAATACAGTAGACTAACAGAAGACCAGCCCCGTTTTGACACGACTAGAAATGAAGAACTGCGAGCTGTGCAGGGTTCCGGCGAGGACCTACTGTGAATCCGACCAGGCTAGTTTATGTTGGGACTGCGATGCCAAGGTTCACGGAGCTAATTTCTTGGTTGCCAGGCACTCCCGGACCCTTCTATGTCATGCGTGCCAGTCTCCAACGCCATGGAAGGCCTCCGGTGCTGTTCTCGGAAACACCGTTTCGGTTTGCCGGAACTGTGACGGAGGAATGAACTTAAGCGACGAGGACGGCGAGGGAAGCGAAGGAGGCAATGACACCGAAACAAACTCGGAAGACGATGACGACGATGCCATGCTTGACGAAAACAACGACGATGACGCCGACGGCGATGAGGTAGGCGGTGATGGAGAGGCCGATCATCAAATAGTCCCTTGGTCCTCCTCGACGCCCCCACCGCCTGCAACTTCTTCGAGCAGCGATGAGTCTAATAACGGCAACAGAAATGTCTCTGAATCACGAACAGCAGTTTCCTTGAAACGAAGGCGTGAAAATGCATCCAAAAATAATTTCCAGGTTTCCCTCAGATTTCTTTATTATTTTTACTCAAGTTTTTGTTTTGTATCTTGTGATCTTGTTGTCTCCGCCATATTTCTGGATTTCTCTCCTCTTTGAGTTTTGAAATTGACTGTTATGGTTTCTGGAAACAACGTGACTTTGGTTATGGGACGTTCAGGGTCCAACTGATGGCGGGTGAGACGACGGAGTTAACGAAGCAGTAGAGAAGATTGGTGGTGACCACGGGGAACGCCGCCGTGAAACACGGGACGATGGGCTGGCATCGCATTCGGTGTCTACGTACAGATCGCCGTAGAGATGAACGGCCCACGCAGGTTTAAGATTGGTATTGGAAGGTGATTGTTCTGGAGACGCGAGCCAAATGGAATTCGTACTATCAGATATTAATATTTTATTAATTATTTATTATTGATTAACTAATTGCACTACTGATCAGACATCTTATTTTCATGCTTTCTGAAAATAAAATTTGTTGTTGCGTGGACAGTGACAATGAACTCGTAGTTTTACCAGAAACTCGTAGTTTTGTTTTTGTGATTAACTTTGAACCTTGTCGTTTACTATGTAATAAATACTCCTTCTGTATTAAATATAAGATTTTTTTTAGTGTAATTTATATCACAACAGGAGTTTTTTATTTAGTAATGGAAAAGTATTACTTTTTCAGTCTTTAATATAAGATCCATTTAACTAATTTGATTAGATTAAAGAAGTTAGGTAAGTTAGTTAATTATAAGAAAAGTGACATATTTTTCCTAAAACATCATAATCATCTTTTTTAATACGTCATCTCCTTCTTCTACTTGATTATAATTGATGGAGTATCTGTAGAGGTAATTTAGAGAAAATTGATAAATATGAGAAATGGATCTTATATTTAGAACTAAAATCAATTCAAGAATTGGGTCTTATATTAAAAGGCGGAGGAGGATTATAGATTTCAGACTTCGACAAAATAGCAGTACGTTTTAACTCACGAACAAGTGTTTGAAAGTCATAATTACCTCCGACGGCAATATAGCCAATGTATTCGGGAAAAATTATTTTCCTGAAATTTGAAGTCTCGATTTTGATCAATTGAATTTTGAGATTTAGAAATGAATCTCAAAAACGGAATGAATGTTTCGTGTGCCTTCCGTTGGCTTGTGATCCAGAGTCAATGAAGTGTTTTCCTTTAATCAAAGTGCCCCTGGTTCTATTCGTTGTATGAACAGTATAGTTTGACCAATAATTAAGTGAAAGATAATGCGCGTTTGGTCTGCCAAATGTCGTGACGTGCCCCTAGTGGTGCTGGGTTTAGGCCGGGACTCTTGCTAATGATACAAGGTTAATTTCGGAAATGCACAGGGTAGGCATATCCTAAAATGCTGTCTGGATTAGTACTAGGATTAATGAATGGTGATGATTCCAAAAGATATTTTTATTTTTAAAATACTTGACCGGATCTGCAAGCAAACTTGTGGCTATGAGGAGCTTTCCTCCGCTTGAGATTAGTTATTAATTTTTTTATTACAGTACGGGTTGATGGGGATAAAGATATAGATATGCTTATCTTGGGGTGATCTTTATATCGCTCCCTATAAGGATAAATCATGAGTGGGCCCCGCATATTATTGAAGTGTTGGCTCGACAAATTCAGCTTTAAAATTTAGTTCTGCTAAAGTTACCATTAAATGGACCCAATAGTATAGTGAATGGATACATCCGCTATTAAATTCTTGTGTTTCCCATTGAGCTGGCCCCCTAAAATACGAAGGTGAAACATATTACAAACGACTGAACCAACATTTTGTTATGAGTCCTAAATCAAAAAAATTCACAAAAAGGGGGATTTCTAACAAGTTTAAGGACTATCTTTATCTAGTGGGTTAGTTTTTGTGGGATGATCTCTCTCAACTCGTATTTGCAACACATTATAAAGGAATAGGATTGATGAGCTGACCAGTCTCAGAGATGACAAAACCCGTGTGTTGAGCTGTTCACGTTTTGAAATGATTAGTTTTCATGCACTCACACAAAAGCAACATCAAAATCATGTCAAGGCCCCCCGGGGGGGGGGGGGAGTGAGAAAGAAATAGGACTCGTTGGAAAGTCAGAGAATAACCCAAAGAAGGAGAAAAATTAAAAAGCGAGGTGGTAGTGGGCTGACTGGTTCATGTGGTGCAGATTTGTTAAGGGTGCGTAAGGACGAGGAGGAATGGCGTGCTTTGTGGCAGGTGCGGTTCCATATGCTTTGTTTTTGGCGCAGCTGAAGTTCCTCAATGCCCTGAAAACGACAACAGAAATCACTCACTTTTGTTTGTTTTTCGCCTTTCTTTTATCATGAAACTGAATATATTGTTGTTTGCTTTTCAGTTTTGGACGGCTTCAAACCCCCGACATGTGACCCTGTCCCTATTATTCCGCTTTCAACAGAGGCGCTTCCTCTCATCTCACTTCCTACCGTTTCATCTTCTTCACTGTGTGAGCTCCAAATTCTTTGTTTTATCAATAATTGTTTGTCGTACAAGGTTCCCTTTTTCAATGTTTTCATTACGAAAACATGTGGGCTGCCTCTCGTCATTCATCACCAGCCACTTCATTAATAAAAGGGAAAACGCTACCGGGTCTCTCTTCCTGGCTAGTCCTTGTCATCTCTCTGCCCGGTTTAGCGTCTTTTAGATATATTCCAATTCTTTTTAAGTTAACTGTGAATATCCACGTAATTATATTCAAAATGACTTTCAGGGGGTTACTTCACTTTATTGGTGTCGTAAAGGAACACATGCTTGGTGTTTTTTTGGGCCATGAAATATTCTCCTTTTTTTTTTTTTCCACCATTCGAGATATTCTCGTGTTTAGGACTTCGGCTCACTGGAAGGAAGGATTTGATTTTGACAAAGTTGACGAATATTTTTTTTATTATAATGTCAAATAAAAATGGATGAAATGATTTTTAAAAAAAATTTACTTTTTTGATATGCATACACACATATATAGAAGGCGTTCTTTTTACAAGGCATTTGATAGTTTTAACTTTTAAAGAGTATTAAATTTTATTTTTTCATATATGCCTATATCTGAGAAGTGAAAAAGCAAAACTTAATACGGAGTCGAATATTAGTGCAATTAACAAAAATAATATTAAAAACTAGTTGAATTTTGTGATAAATTTAATACTTTTAATTATTTTTATCCATACACATAAGATAGTTGGAAATGACTCATACTTGAAATGAAAGGGAAGGGAGCATATCATTGGAGACACACAAAATCCGATCTGTTTCAAGGGATATGTTTGTTCCAGGCTCAGCGCTTTCCCTCCATTTCCAAGCTTCAAATGCTGTTTCTTCTTAGCTTGAAAACCTCCCCTGTATATGTCTGAACAATTAAAGCGACCACTAATCACGCCTCCATTATTGGATCAACGGTGCTGCATATACTTCTGTACTAACCCGTAGCAAAATGTTGTGAAACGAACGAAAGCATGATTGCACTAGTGCCTTGATTGACAAGTAATAACCAAACAAGACGACACGGATGGACTAAGATGTCGTCATAACGCCCACATTCACATTCTCAAATCGAGTACTTGCTGTAAAAACTGGCCAAGTTTGTCTCCATGATCAGACATTAGTGATCGGACTACATAAACTGAAGCATGATTTCGACCTCATGTTCTATGTTTAACATATAATTCTTGCGGAAATCTTTGTGCGAAACTATAAAAATATTATTTATGACCTTTAAATTTAGCAAGGAGTATAATCTATTTTGAAAGCTTTAATTTATATTTATCTTCATATTTAATGTATTTTCTTAATGTTGTCTGTAATTATTTTTTCTCTTGTTACATTTTTCCACACATTTTCTTATATCATTTTTCTCATTTATTATAAGGGTTTCTAATCTATTTTTTATTTTTAACTAAATGTTCCTTATTTATGAATTTTATAACAAGGACAGGGAGGAGTATTAATTTTGTGGACCCATAGAAATCGGCAGTTGGCTTCAGAAGTAAAAACTTCCTCACCAGAAAGTTCGCACTGCCGCACGGAGAGCTGAAAGGGGATGAATTGGCGAAGACGAGTGACTGACATTTGGACATTCATGGGCCACCAGATTGTGCAGAGGGGAATGGCACCCTATTAAATTGGCTTCCACCAAACATAAGGAATGGTCAGACTGTGGAGAAGTCAGGTCATAATAGGTGCCAGTATTCTGCCGCAAAATGGAGCATGGGCCACCAGCCATTGCAGAAGTAACTGCGATTGTTACAGACGGGGCATGCGCATAACTCTGCTAATTTGATGAACTTGATTTTAATCAAGGGACATCATGCGAACCGATTAGTTTTCACTTTGCAGTAGCGGCTCAATTAAACCTCGCAATGCATGCCAAAATGCTAGTTGAATACGTAAACTTAATGCAATGGTATGTCCACTACGATTGTAACTACACTTCCTCAAAACCTTCTAGCTGACGACAGCATGGTTACGCCTGAATTTCTTGTGGAGATTATTATTTAGATGGTACACTCGACTTCTCCAAATCAGTGTTATTAATACAATGAAATAAAAAGGTGTAAAGGCGAAAAGAGAGGCTAAAAGTACACATGAACGTCAAAATTCATCATCACTGATTTCTTTTTCATAAATGAAACTCAGATTGAAGGGAATCTTTCCCGACAGCTAGGAAAGAACTATGGGTTTGCCACACAACTGCCCAAATTCGTCTTCTAAAACTTTGTACAACCTTGCTTTGTTCCGCCTATAAATCCAAGCTCTAGCTTCTTGATCCCAATCAAACCTAGATGGACCACTGCAAACAAAGATAAGATCCATTGGACAGGCATCTAAGAGATCATGAAACAGGTACAGAAAAAGCTAAAATGGTTAAAATATATTTCATCCAACAGTTGGTGCAGACCAAAAACACATTTTTCAGTGAGCAACCGCCCTGATCTTAGCTATATTAGACGAGCGATACGCCCATGAATCCATGATAAGGATAAAAGTTTCCTGCAAGGCTGCATCTGATAACTGTGCAGAGGACCAACATGTCTTTGCTTCAAAAAAAGAAAACTCTATAGAGGGCCATGGGTTTGCGTTTTCTCACCCTTAAAATGCATCTCAAGATTCTTAGTTTAATGCCTAAATTTAGACGCAGAATACGTCCAATGGTGAGTAAACTCACAATGTTCTCCATCGTATTATCCTTCAACAAATATAATTAAACCTGAAGATTTGGAATAACAGAGGCCTCCAAAGTAACAAGATAGTCTAAATCACTATAATCAATCACAACGTCAATGAGAGCTAAACTAGTGATTTACTGAAGTAACCGTCAGAAAAGAAAGGACATATGATGCTTGTAAGATACTCTTTCAAAAGTGCATGAATAGGTTTGTCTACCTATGTTCTTGGAAGGATGAAGTATTCAAATCTCCACATACAGGGTACTACAACTACAGCCATCTCATCAAAATTATAAGACACACTATAAACATCAAATCTCCTCCCTACTCATTGTTTGAATATGAAAAAGTTAAAATTTTTACAGAAGTGAAAACCAACATGAGTAAATGGTTCTTTCGCAAACACTGCACATAAATCTTTCCTTATCTCAAATCCTGCATGTCAGAAGTTTCAAAAACGGCAGAGAGGAGATTTTAAACCAGTTAATTACTTGGCGGAGTTCTGCAATCGCATCTCTACCACCTACTACCTCATCTCTCTCGATAAGGTAAGACCAATGACAAGTCAAAGGGATTTAACTTCAATGTCAATAACTATCCAGAGTGGTACAACCTACACATTATAATTTATGTGAACCTTCTAATGATCTTTTGACAAAATTTGGCATTTATCTGGGAGATGTTGGTATTCATGCATAATAGAACAGCTCAGCATGTAAAGCACACGCAGCTAGCATGCTTCTTACTTGACAAAATGAACTACTTTGCATGCAACCTACAGCACAAATATTCCTGTGCAAGAAACAGCTAAAAGATTTCAAGACAAAAACCATGCATGGAACATTCTGAATGGAAGGCAACCGATAGACACAAAAAAATACCTGATGGGAGAAGACAGCCATATTTGTCTATTTGGTGTTTGTTTGTTTAACACATAGGTGCCCAGGTCCCCCAGTTTTACAGTCAACACATCATTCTGCAAAATGCTATGACATATTAAAACACATAATACACACTCCATAATAGAAATTCGCTTCTCAAAACTAACAGGCGAAATGTGGAAATGACCAATTCCAAAAAAGATTTAATTAAAAAAAAAAAACCTTTAAGAAATATGATTTTAGAATACCAAATAATCAAATTAAGTTTCGGCTATCAAGTTATAAATTTGAAAATTTGATTCGTTCGGCATCAACTTGTAATTTAAAAATCTAAAAACTTTTATTTTCCCTTTCGATAAATATTTGATTATCAATTTTCATTTGCTAATAGTCCCAGACAACTGTCCTCACCCCATAGTCAATGTCAAATCCATCAACTTCAACGGAATCTCCATAAACCTATCAATCAACAAGGCAAAATCAGATGATAAGTGCCTAAATGTAAGATTTTAAACAACATAAAAATAATATTTCGATCGTGTTTCCATCACAGTTACAGAACATTTCCCAAAGACATAAATATCATATAATATGGATGATAAATCAACTCAAAAATCAGTTGTGGATGTCAATACTCTGATTAAACAATAGCTAGAGATACCTCGAGTTTCTCTTGTAGTTCATGTATTGTAGTATCTGCCAGTTTGTGAAATTCATCCTCCTGCAGTATAGAACTGCATTCACATCAATCATTACCAACCTATTCTTGCCCATTTCTAATTGAAACAACGCCAACAATGCGATAATGTTATTAACTACACAACTTTGTTGCATAAAATAAGAAAGGTAAACCAATTCAATAACAACTGTAATGGCATATGTAATTCAGTACTTAAATTTAACCAAGCAACTTAACCATAATGGTTGATGCAGTTAAGTGACTGCAAATGAACCCAACCAACAGATAATTCTGATGAATTTGCAATTTCCGGGAAACTACCTTTTCCCCCATTTTCTTTGGTTTTGAGGATCAAATAGAACACTATTAACTCGGGCGGGAGCGTTCCATAGGAAAATATGAACCAAGTCACAAAAGGAGACTGCATACCGGTAATCAATAGCAGTGGGGCCTTCAACATTCAAACTGCGAGAGCAAAAGCTTCGGGAAGGAGTTGAAGAAGGAGGCAGATGAAGATTCTCAAAGAAACCCAGAATTTGCGACGCCTTTAAAGGAAGAAGCCGGGTCCCATGGACCAAAGAGTAAGAATTTGAAGATGGGAATGCTAGTGAGAGCTTCACCGACCTTGAGAGCCTTCTCAGCAAAGGCAGCTTCAAAGCCATGATTGTATTTTCTGGAATCGGTTCGGCTCTGCGCCTCCGATTCCCAGACTTGAGGGAGATTCAAGGAGACTCTCAATTTGGGCCGCTTATCCTGGATTAGTTAACCCACCATTTCAGAAGGCCCACAAGACCCAACTATAATTTGTTTTTGGATACAACCAGCTAGATATTGGGCGAAGTTACTATCTTTACGCCCAGATGAAAGTGGGCTGCGGTGGTCAGAAAGAAAGTGGCGTCTATGAATTTGTAATTCAAGGCATTATTTCCGTTACAGATAATGTTGTCATTTACAACTCGGAAACATTTCTGATTTTCCTACTTATGCTCTTTCTGTAAAAGTATTTGCCATTTCACCCTTTTACCAGCATGATTCCTACAATGTCGAGATTCATAGAGTACTCAAAGAAGAGTAAATTTCTTATAAATAAGATTAAAAAAAAATAGAAATAACTCGAAATTGTGACTTCATATGTTCCCGAACATTTCATGAATTTGGACGCTATGGGGAATCCAAAATGTGTGTGTATGTGTGTGTGTGGGGTTTTTCCCACTACATATGTTGCCTTTGTAACATATATCAAGGGCCAAAATTCATTGCTGCTGTTGTATCTATTGGAAAGCAGAGGCTCAAAGCGCCTTTTTTTTTTTTTGGATAGAAGGGAAAGAAAACAAGATTACAAGCTAATCTCCAGGGCCTAATCTCATAAAACGGGTAACAGCATCGGGACACAAAAGTTGAAGGCCGTAAGGATTCGCCAGAGCTCTTTTTGCTAAGGAGTCCGCCACCTGATTGTCGTCTCTAGCTAAGTATTGTAGTCTCACACGCCCATCCCGTTGCAACATCTCCTTGGCTTCCATAATCAGGTTGAAGTCCTCGTGTAGGTCAGGGGGGTCCGTCTGCAGAAGCTTCAGAGCTCCCTGAGAATCTGATCGTAAGAGCACATTCCTATGACCTCCGTCCCAAGCTCTTTTCAAGCACATTCCTATGACCTACGCCTTTGTTTCGTGTAACTGAGTTTAATGAAAAATATAGTCAACCGCAGATACGGAGGGGAGAATTCATCTATGCTATATATGCATGAGTACAGTAATTTCAACGTCGGATGCCGTGGAAAAATGCCATAGTGAAGTTTCATGGATTATGTCTTCATCTTGGGGGTCATTGTTTACATCGACATGTCTGGTTTTACAGAAGAGAACTGACGATGTTATAAATATATCCAGCCTAACAACTGTGCTAATCTAATATTTTCACGAGTGAACCTTTTTAGGATGGTTCGCATTCATGTTCTTGTACTTGGGAGTTGCCTACTAAATTGTACAAAACAAGTTACTTGCGTATTCTGGTTCCTTGGAGATTTTCTCTGTTCTTAGATGATAGCAAATTTTCCTAAACTCTTTTATATAATATGCTTTTTCAATTATGGTGCAGACATATCCAAATTCCGAGGTTCAAGTCGGTAATGTTTGACAATTAATTAAGTCAAACGATAAGCCATGTGAAACCACTTTCTTCGGCATCAAAGATAAATCCCATCGGACCAATTCTTGGCCTATTTTGGCCCACTAAGACACCGTTCCGTCACAGAAGTCATTATATATTTTTTTGTATTAAAAAAAACTTTATTATATATTTACCAATGACATTGGATGTAACCTTCAGTAGGGAGAGATACATATATTTAGCGTTCAACAATATCTCAAATAAAATTGTCTTTAATAAGAAAAAATATTTATGCCTAGCATAAAAAAAAAAAAACTTTATTATATTTTCATGGGGATAATTAATCTCCAGGTCCTTATAGTTTCATCTGATTTTTAATTGGGTCCTTATAAAATTTTTTCTTTTTATCAGATCCTTTTACTTTCGTGTGTTTTTAATTAGGTCCTTCTATTTTTTTTTCTTTTTATCAGGTCCTTATAGTTTCACTTATTTTTTAATTAGGTGCTTTGTAGTTTTTGAAAAATTATTTATTAACTTTATTCTTTAAAATTAATTTCATTTTAAATTAATAATTATATAATTGGACAAACTAATTAATATAATCATTTAGTAATTAATTAATAATCAGAATAATAATTATACTTAAGTATAAATTATTTATAATCATATTTTAATTTTAGAAAAATTTATTATTATAATTTGAATTTTATAATTATAAAAATTCGAATTGAAAATAAATAATATATTTGTTTAACTAAAAATTTAAAAGAATATTAACATAAGATTGTTACAATAATTTATTATTTTTAAAATGTTATTATTTGTAAAATAAAGAATAAAAACTACAAGGACCTAATTAAAAACAAAGTAAAACAATAAGAACCTGATAAAAAGAAAAAAAAATATAAGGACTTGATTAAAAATATATGAAAGTATAAGGACCTGATAAAAAGAAAAAAAATTATAGGGACCTGATTAAAAACCAGTTGAAACTATAAGGACTTATATATTAATTATCCCTATTTTCATGCCTATAAAAGCCAAGCCTATGCAACAGAACCAAGTTCATCGCTTGGAGCGCGCTCGCGTTTTTAAGTCAACACGACTGGCGTTTCGTAAACTTGTGTTTCTGCTGGGCTTTATTGTTTTTTTTTTTTCTCCCTTTTTGTCCTGTCTTTTTGGTAAATTAACTGCATCAGATCTGACGTTGGCAAAAAAACTGCAGCAGATAAGCGGGTCAGAAACCCCAAAAAAAAAAAAAGAAGAAGCAGCTCAGTGTACAAGGCTCTCATCAGGTGGAATCACTTGACAGTAGCCTTATTGTTGCTCTAAGGCTCACCCTCAGAAACAAAAAATACAAAAGAAAAGAAAAAAACTCCTTGGGGGCGTTTGCGTGTAAATAAACAATGTTGTATTCCTCCGTTTCAAAGGATGACATGTGTCTATGGGGATTTTAAAAATCCAACCACGAGGTTCAGAACAAGTCTAGGCTTGAAAAGTCAAATGTGAGATGGCACACGGGGTGTTTGTTCTGGTGTTTTGGGTGATCCTTTTTTAATTTTATAGGTAGAATCTTAAATTTTAGAAAAGGCAAGCAAGAGGATTCATCATTCATCGACCATGAGAAAATGAGAGTCCTGATCAAAATTAAAATCAAAGAAAAGCAAAGCAAAGAAATGACCGCCATGCAAATCTCAGTCTTCGACCCACGAACACGGGGTTTGAAAATCCAATCCCTATCTGTGTCCCCACTCACATCAATGCATTTTGCGGTGATAGAGATTGCAGTGCCAGTGCGTTTCCCCGTAACAAATACATTTATCTCACTCTGTCTTTTCTTCAACTAACAATTTTTCCACTCGTTCGCCATTATCTTATTATTATTTATAGCAGCAGAATAAGGGAAACAAATTCGAGCTGTATGTCTTGTATTTGGTCTACCTAGATTTAAATAAGACGTCAACCTTGCGTGATAACTTTTGGATGTCTTTCTGATATGAATTATATTTAGTGGACGCCAATTGGGTGGTGATTGGCAAGCAAAAACAAATAATGCGCCACTGGGATGCCGCAGCCACCCTCGCATGCGAAAGTCAAATATGCCGCCTTGAAATTTACCCAAAGCAACAAACTGCGGTTTGACTCTTCGCCTCCATTTTTCACACGCCATGACTTCAAAACGCGGATACTGCCATGGCAGAGCCTTCTCTCAAATGACCGATAAGCACCGAACAGAACACTGTACAGAAGCGTCGCCAAGATGTTAATTAAATGCCCGAGAACGACGTCGGAATAGCTTGCCCTTGAAGGCTTTTAGTCTCAATGACGAGAAGTTGACGACCCGTGATCAGAGACAATTTTTATCCGCACAGCACAGCCTCTGCAATCTGCCCGCAAATCTTCTTGTTGATCGCCAAAAGGGCGTAACAGTCAATTTTCCAAAACGACCAGGTCATACCTCTTCCCCGACAATAAAACATCTCGCTTCTGTCTCATTTCCTCTGCTTCTGTGAAGCCGTGGAAAAACATGGAGAACCTGTGGTGCTTTCTCTCTGCTGTTCTCCTCTGTTTCTCTTTCCACACCGTACCTTCGCTGGCTGCTGATACCATCTCTGCAAATCAAACTCTTTCTGGGGATCAAACCATCATCTCATCCGGCGGTGTCTTCGAATTGGGTTTCTTCAAGCCAGGTAACTCCTCAAACTACTATATAGGCATCTGGTATAAAAAGATCTCTCAACGGACCATTGTTTGGGTCGCAAACAGAGACAGCCCCGTCTCTGATAAAAATTCAGCCAAATTAGTTGTATCAAACGGTAATTTGATTCTCCTCAACGGGTCCCAAATCCCAGTTTGGTCGACAAACTTGACTTCCACCACATCAAAGTCTGTTGTTGCTGTCCTCCTGGATTCTGGGAATCTCGTCCTCAGAGACAAGCCCGAGTCTTCAGAAAACTTATGGCAGACTTTTGATAACCCAACCGACACGTGGCTTCCTGGAGGTAAAATCAAACTCGACAATAAAACGAAAAAGCCACAATATCTCACTTCATGGAAGAACGAAGATGATCCAGCGACGGGTCTCTTCTCCCTCGAGCTAGACCCGAAAGGAACCACATCGTACTTAATTCTTTGGAACAAGTCTGAAGAGTATTGGACAAGTGGTCCTTGGAATGGCCAAATTTTCAGCTTGGTTCCTGAAATGAGGGCGAATTTCTTATACAATTTCACCTTTGTTTCAAACGAGAACGAGAGCTATTTCACTTACTCCATGTATAACTCTTCTATTATATCTCGTTTCGTGATGGGCATCTCGGGACAGATCCAGCAACTCTCATGGCTAGAAAGCACCAAGCAGTGGAATTTGTTTTGGTCTCAGCCAAGACGACAGTGTGAAGTTTATGCTTTTTGTGGCTCTTTTGGGAGGTGCAATGAGAATTCCCAGCCATTTTGTACTTGCTTGACCGGTTTCGAGCCAAAGTCTCAAACTGATTGGGATCTGCAGGATCACTCAGGTGGGTGTGTGAGGAGAACCAAGTTGCAATGTGAGAATCCAACATCACCTAACAGAGAGAAAGATAGGTTTTTGGCAATGCCAAACGTGGCCTTACCTAAACATGCAAAATCTGTGCGAGCAGGGGAAGCTGGTGAATGCGAATCCATGTGCTTGAACAATTGCTCTTGTGCTGCTTATGCTTATGACGGTAACGGTTGTTCTGTTTGGAATGGAGATTTATTAAGTCTGCAACAACTTTCTCAAGATGACAGCAACGGAGGAACTTTATATCTAAAGCTTGCAGCTTCTGAGTTTTCTGCTACTAAACGGAAAAGTAGAGAAATTATTGGTATTGTGGTGGGCATTGTAGGTGGTTTAGGGGTTCTCCTGGCCATTCTGTTATTTGTGATAATCAGAAGAAGAAGAATTGTTGGAAAAGGAAAATCGGTGGAGGGTTCATTGATGGCATTTGGGTACAGAGATTTACAAAACGCAACCAAGAATTTCTCTGAAAAACTAGGAGGAGGAGGTTTTGGTTCTGTTTTCAGAGGCACATTGCCGGATTCCAGTGTCATAGCAGTGAAAAAGCTTGAAAGCATAAGCCAAGGTGAGAAACAGTTTCGATCAGAAGTCAGTACTATAGGTACAGTCCAACATGTGAATCTTGTTCGTCTTCGTGGGTTCTGCTCTGAAGGCAACAGAAAGCTTCTGGTTTATGATTACATGCCAAATGGCTCATTGGACGCCCATCTGTTTCAAGAAAAGAACTCCAAGAAATTAGAATGGAAATTAAGGTACCAAATTGCTCTAGGAATCGCGAGGGGACTAACTTATCTCCACGAGAAGTGCAGAGACTGCATCATACATTGTGACATAAAGCCAGAAAACATTCTTTTAGATTCTGATTTTGGCCCAAAAGTTGCAGACTTTGGCCTGGCAAAACTAGTTGGAAGGGATTTCAGCAGAGTCCTCACAACCATGAGGGGGACAAGAGGCTATCTTGCCCCAGAGTGGATTTCTGGGGTGGCTATCACTGCAAAAGCTGATGTTTACAGCTACGGAATGATGCTTTTTGAATTTGTGTCAGGTAGAAGAAATTCCGAGGCATCTGAAGATGGTCAGGTGAAGTTCTTTCCTACAAGCGCTGCAAATGTAGTAATCCAAGGAGGCGATGTTCTTGACCTTCTAGACCCTGCCTTGGAGCGAAATGCAGACGCTGAAGAGCTGACTAGGATAATAAAACTTGCTTCCTGGTGCGTGCAAGATGAAGAGAGTCACAGGCCATCCATGGGTCAGATAGTTCAAATACTTGAGGGTGTTTTGGATGTGAATCTGCCTCCTATTCCAAGATCCCTCCAAGTGTTTGTTGACAACCAGGAGAATATAGTTTTTTTCACTGACTCAAGCTCCAACCAGAGTTCGCATACAAGAAGCAACACCTCAGCAGTATCTGCTCAGGCCAAAAGCAACATCTCATCGGCAAGCTCCAAGTCCTCAAGAGAAAATTAGGAGGAGTATAAGCTTTGCTTTCTTTGTAAGCCAATGAATTTCATTATGATATGTGGGCGTATCTCATTACCACATCAAGATGCTTGTGTAGTATATTTGAATCAGAATAATCTGATCTGTTATGGCCTTTTCCCTATTTATGTAATCTAATATGAGTAATACAGCAACAAGATGTGATTTTGGAGTTTGTGAATACTACGTTAGTTAACAACCTCCTATTTCTTCTTCCTGATGAATTGTATTTGAGCCTAAACAAGTGTTTAGTAGAGTCGCAGCTGCTTTTCAGGGAGGGGGTCATTACCCTGAAAAACTTAGGTTTGACTGCAATTTGAGCATTTGAGATTGAGCTGCTTGCTACGATATTTTAACCTCATTTTAATTTTTTGTTTGCAAAATTTATTCTAAGACATTACTCTACAGAATTGTTTTGTTTTTAAGAACAACAAAATGGATAATAAAATCACATAAGCCCTGATTTTTTTTTCCCCAATATATAGACTCTTAATAACGATTTCATGACTCAAGTCCCAGCAGTACCATTTTCATCTTCCTATTTCATGTGAGAAAACCAGCAGATGGAATCGTCACCTCTGTCACTAATTTACTATAACGGACCAAAACAGAGAGAAATTTTTCACCGCAAGATAAAATTGATGTGAATAGTTTATCTCTCTTCATATATTGAGAGAGTTCCGATTCCTTTTTCGCTATGCTTGTATTACCTGACCTAGTTTTAAATGGCTAAAGAGGAGCAATTGAAACACGATTTGATTTAAAAGAGTTCGTATAAATTGAACACTCCAGGCAAGGAACAGGGCAAGTTTTGCATTCTATTTGTACATATAAAAGGAATACATATTGTGGTAAGAGTTTGGGGTTAACATGTAGTTAATGGCATGGACAACCTTCTTTAAATAGCCCAAGAGGAGGGGTAAGCCTTCTCAGTTCCCAGTTCCCAGTTCCCAGTTCTCAGTTCTCATGGATTCAGTCCTTTGGCTTTTCAATTATTTTTTTTAAAATTTTTGTGTAAATCAACAACAGAGACGTTGTTATTTTATTGTTTATACTTAACCGACCTTGTAGTGGGATCTATTTAATAAATATCCCAAAAGCAACGCTTCGTTACAGAAATCATTTTAATTCTAGGAACTGTTTTAACAAGTCTTTAGCTCTCTCGTTGGCAAAAAAACAAAAAGACTTTAGCTTATTTCTAGCAATTCATTGTGCTCCTCCTTTTGTTCAGAACTTGCCTCCTAAATATATCAGAAACGCCCGCAGGTTTCCATTCTAATGTGCTGTAAACGTTATACTTCATCCTTTTTTAAAAAAGAAAAAGAAAAGAATTAATAGCATTATTTCACCTCATTTTCTGTTTTCCCTTTTCTATGCGTTATACCCAATCATTCTCTTTCGTTCCCTAATTGATTCAGTGATCAATGAAATAAGGTTGTTGTCTTTCGCTTTCTGCTTTCATACTTGGAATCGGTCAATATTTTGGTTGATTCAGATCCCCTTCCATCGCTCTATCTGCTTAATGAATTTTTATTTAAAAGTTATGTGGGCAGATGAAGAAGAATGCTACTTCTTGTCTTTAATATTAGATCTAATTGACTAGTTTAGAAAAGTTACAAAAATTAATTAAGTTAGTTATTTGTAATAAATATGTGTTACTTTTTCTAGAATACCTTAGCTAATCATATATATTAGTTAAAATTATCAGTTGATGGAACATTTAATACATACAACTATTATAAAAATTACTTTTAAAAAAATAGATAAATATGAAAGACAAAGTGGATTGGAGTATTATGTTTAAAATCAAATCGAAAGTCAAACTAGTTCTTATATTAAGGATCGAGAATAATATTAAATAACTTATATTGTAATAAAATCTAACAATATTTAACTAAAATATAGATATACTAAAATGTCATAACATTCAGAACCCCGTATAAAATGTGTACAGAATAAATTAATATAATGACAGTATCTTAAGACAAAAGTAACATTTAAAACAACAATTTTTTTTTTTAAATTTGATAAAGGGTTTTTCCTTTCAAGGCTTAGAGTGCAAGGAAGTTTCACCTCTCCTAACAAATATGCTTCTTGGAATTCGAATTTGTATTATTTTTCTTATAAGAATAAGTCCGTATATTACTTTAACCAACAGTTTGTTGATTAAAACAACAATTATTTTAAAACGAAATAGGTAATTTTCAATTATGAGCTATGAGCTTGTTTATTTTTTTTTCCCTTGAAAAAATCCCACAAACCTCGGGTCCTAAAGAAGCGCATGCGTGTATGTATGTCCTGCCATTACAATTGATGCTTGCTAATCACTACTTCAGATGCCAACTCAAGCTTTCAGAACAAACCAAGGGTATTGAAGTGATGCATTTATTGGAGTGACCTGCTTTGTCTTGGTTATAATGAACCCATAAAGCTTAATTTACCTAAACTTTTTAGTTAAAAAAATAACTTGCATTTAATTATTGGGCAAGGATATGCTGGCTTTTGTTGTGCCGAAGCGTCCCATCTTCTTCAATCAAAAGTCAAGAATTTTCTTCTCCAACAAAAGGAACCAATGGGGGAAAAAGGTCAGGTGTTTATGAAAGCATTGACGGTCCTACGCGTTTAGTTTCAAAACGAAAGCATCCAAAGAAAACATGTGATATTCATGTGTAAAAGACAAATTTAAGCCAATATTCACTAGGAGATAAAAGAATATAGTAACGCGCATCATGGAGATCAATTCCCACAGGGTGTCGAAGGACCCCGCCCACTGGGTTTATATCAGGGTTACGTTATAGCCTCGCTGGACCCAAAATAGCATAGAAACAGAGTTTGTAGCCATTCTGTCTCAGGTGTCTTCAAGGCTTGAAATAATCCCAGTTTTCTTGTGGGATTTTTTATGCCAAAAAAAAAACCCATGTTTTCTTTTTTACTGTACTAATTATACTTCATTTGATTCTGGATACAAGATTAACTTATACAAAGCAAACATAAAAAGGGTATTTTTAAAATAAAATAATTAATAATTCACAAGCTCTTACAAAACATAAATTACATTTTGGATTATGAAATTGTTCTCAAAGTTAGTTGATGGCATGGGTTAGGTAGGAACAAGGTGCTTAAATACCCTGAAAGTATCTATAAATGAGCACACGGTATTTAAAATTTTGTTTTGACTTTTATACATCCCATAAGTTTATTTTCATAATAAAAATACCTCAGCTATTATTCATCATTAAATTTGAACATTAAATTATGTGATTTGATCCATGTCTTTAACTGTCAAACTCAATGACAGACAATGACTCAGAGTAATAATGCTACTAAATAAAACTTCTGAAAAATAAGAACAAAAAAAAAACTTTCAAATGCCAGGTGCTCATTTGTGAACACTTTCAGAGTATTTAAGCACTTTATCACATTTAAGTAGTATTCGATTCGTAAGATTTAAACGAGGTTAATGTAATATTTAAATAATACATAGCTACTAAAAATTCTTTCAATAGTTAGTAAGAAACTGGACATGTAATGGCTGAAACTGGTGAGCTCCGGAACTCACCCAACCTTTTCACTTTTTAGTGCACGGAAAATTCAAATAATACAAAGTTCAATAGTAACACTTTTATCCACAGTTATCTTACGCCCACCCCATTCGATAGCATGTAATAATAGTACGTAAAAAAGAGCCATAAGTTGAGTGAACAAAAGTTAGGTGCAGCAGCAGCCAAATGGCACACCATTTTAAATAAAGCAAGAAAAGGGGGCGAGTTTATCTCCATGGATCTTCTTTTAAAACCCTACATGCCGCTTTCTTAGCTCCTCTTGAGCTATGAAGATATATATTCAATCCTTTGCATTTATAAGTATCCACTTTCTTCACTTCGCTTTTTATTCTTTTTGTGAAAAGGACGTTGTTTTCACCCCACACACACCCAGTTTAATTTATTGTTGTGGCAACTATTTGATTAATATGCATCTCAAAAGCAACGCTTCTTTCTTTACTTCTGTCTAATTTTTTGAGGTCTTTTCCTAATCTTTCGCTTTCCGTTCAAAGGGCTCTCCTCTTGAGGTGACAACTTTTTTGCCAGTAACAATACATCACACTCGAATTACTGTGGGTAATTTTTTAATTCCCAAATATACCTTTACTTCAAACCTTGTGTGTGTGTGTGTAAATGTTTGAACCAACAAGTAGTTATACACATCAGGATTTGTTATTATACTCATCAAGTGCAAGTGAGAGATAAAATGTCTCTCATGGAAAGGAACAACCTTCATGTGATCGTTCTATTGGAGAACTTCTATCACCAGTGATGATTCAAGTACATACGAACTGAAGTCCATAATAGTTTTTTTTTTTTTTTACCAGCAATAGTAGTTATGATGAAACCTTCATATATATCCCCGTTAATTGTCGATCGACTTGGTGAAAGTAAAATTAACTTCAAAGTTAGCAAAAATTCTCAAACAGTGGTCATGTTTCCTGTATCCATTTAGCCCGAAAGAAACGTGATGGGCATGCAACCAGTTGTCCCTCAAAAGTTAATCCATTTATTATATACAATGGCAAGACTTCATTATTTATGGTGTTTGTTCAATTAACTGGAATGTTCTTTAATTAAATTTAATTTATTGAAAGTTAATGATTGGGCAGTAAAGTGAAAGTAGGCACTCTTCATGCTCTTTTCCTTATTTATACATCATTTTTTAACTCAATACGATCCACATGATTTGTTTGCCTTTTGGTTTATGCTTTTGTTCTTGGAAAAAATGGCCTACATATATACATAAATAAAGTGTATCCACATTATTATTTTATGATTCTTGTCTTCATCTTTCAGTCTTTGAGACTGGCTCGGAACCACCACTCCAAAATAACTTTATTGACGGCCCCAGCACTTTAATTGTTTGGCAAATTATTAAGGAACAAGTTAAGTGTATGTGTGTGGGGAATCTAGAAGGCCAGAAAACCTCAGCCCCTAAGAAATGGAATTCAGCAACATTTGAAAATCTTATGTCCAATGATTTCAATGTCTAATCACTGTGTATGTCTCGCTCCACAGCTGTCCAAACGACAACTCACGGGCCATGGTTTATATAATAATAATAGTACCCTCTTCTTGCAGTTTTTTTTTTTTAAAGTTCTGAATTTTTAATACTTTGCATATATAATCCATTATCTTATGATTTTTTTTATGAGTTTACTATGTTTAGAAAAAGATCAAGTGTCAACAACTAAGTATTTAGCAAATATAGAAATAGTTGTTAGATTTTAACTTTAGAATGAGTAGAATTTGAAATTCTTAAACCAAAATAAGGACAATATTAAAATATTTTCTTTAAAATATATATTTGTAATTAAAAATAGTATTGTTTTGGATTTATATCATTGTTAGTTTTTACATTTTGATCTCTATAATTTTTCGTAATGACTTAATAGAATTTAAGTATGGGAAGTAAAACCAAAACATGTTAAAAATATATAGAAACCATTCAACTCGAATCAAATACTTGTAAAACTATAGGGATTAAGAGTAAAATTTGATTAAACTATAAAGACTAATAATCCTACTAATCCTTTTTAAATTTTTTAGCCATGTTCGCATCTCAAAGATTTGCATTTTTACCCAAGACGATCACACCACAAACACAAAGCGTAGTAATTAACTATTTAAGCATATATATGTATATATTATATGTGAAAAGATGAGAGAATAATGCTGTACTGCTAAATGCGTGAATTCATGTGATATTCTGTCCAAACTCCAAACATAAGCATCATGTGATATATCTGCCTCCTCTTTTTCCTTTTGGGGACGCCAGCATCATGTGATTTTAATCTGTGCGCGTTCAATCTCTATTTTTTTTTTAATCACTTTCTTACGATATGAACTGCTCGAACTCAAGTTAAAACGCTGGTGATTCGTCGTAACAATATGTAATATTAAATGGATGTTAAGTTTTTTGTCCTACCAATAGTAGATTTGAGAAAGAATCTTCAAACAGATTTATTTAATGATAGATAGGTCAACTTTTTTGTTGAGAAAACAAAGCTTTATTCAAAAAACAAAAGGATCGGTCTTTTTGAAAAGGCGCAACTTTTTGGAGGCATTATTAACATTACTGTTTGAAAAGCAATGGAAGGAGGGCTAGCTGTGCAGGTAATGTCCAAAGAAGGCCAACTACGCCCATTTTATTAATTCCACCCACCCTTACTTTTTCTTATTTCTCCATTACCCTTTATTATCAATTACCAAACCCATAAACCACTAGTGCCCTTTTATGGATGATTAAAATCCTAATAATTCAAGGGAGAATGGTATTTAGAAACCATGTGATGAAATTAATACAAATAAGGGTATTTTTATAATTGAATTTAAAATTTACAAATTAAATATCTATACTCACAACGTGAAAGTTCACATTTTATATACATCGACGTTCTCATAATATCTTTGCTTGTCAAATTAAAGTCACTTCAACTTAATTTTCCATTTTTCTGCGTAAATTAAATACCATTAAATTCCCCAGCGCTGGGTTAAAAAAACAAATAATAGTAATAATAATTCCCCAGCCAGTGCCTTTTTGACTTTTTCTAACCCAAGCCAGTGCCTTTACTCGTTTGGCATTGGCGTTACTCCTACTTCCACACGTTAATCCATCAAATAGCACGGTCAAGTACGCTTTATTAATTCTTACTCCGTCCGATCTCATTTACACTCAATGTTTATATTTGGACTAAAAAGCCCTCAAGACTTCGTAATTTTGCCTCCAGATTAAATAATTTTCTATTTTGTTCATCTTAAATATCCATTCTCATAAAATTTTCATTAGATTCCTTACTTAATATTTTTTTCTCACAATTTTCTTACTTTGTGTATTTCTTTTAGGAAATTAGCTTACCCGTACTCATTTCTTGCAGAATTTTAATAACCTTGCGGAGGTGTAGGTATATATTTCATCTCTAATCGATGTAAAAAAGCCGTGCCACCTTTTGAATGTCACTTGCCCTTATTAAGCAAAAGCATTGGAATTGTAAGCCGCAGAACTTAAAGAAGATCGCTGAGCACATTAAATTGCAGGTGAAATTTTTCAACAAATTAATTAAACAGACAACAACCAAACCTCTTTAGAGGGAGCAATCTCATTAACTACACTGGGTTAATTCTAAGTAATGTTAGATATATGTCAGAATCTTCCAAGATGGATCCTATTCTTTGGGGTTGTTACTCTGATATGATCTGTCTCTTCGCCGACTGCCAGAAACTAACAGAACCAAACAAATTTATGCCTCCCCTTTTGTTCTCCATGAACCTTCCACCACTGAGATGCATCAACCAAAATACCCCTACCTTTCACATCAAATTTAATGCCCTTTATTGCAGCCTTCCCTTCTGATTCCTGTTCTTGCCGTCTTTCCTCACTGTTTTCTGCCTCAGGGATCTTTTTTTCAAAACAGAGTAAGAGTATAGGCAGATGGATGTTAACAAAATGCCCAGAATCTTGCCCCAGAACACCGTAAGAATTAAGCTCAAGAGAAACATGTATATCCCGGAGCAGTCTAACTTGTTTCGCTGGTCTCGACGGCTTCTTTTTCTGGCCTTTGCTTCAGAGGGGCAAGACTTGGACTTGCTTAAAAACTTTGAGTCTGATGAAGACAATGAAAACCGAGACTCGGAGTTTATTTCTTGAATACTGGTGATATCCACTGACGTTTGACTCCATATGGAGCTGTCATCGCCGGTCGATGAAGTTTCCTCTGTGTATGTCGTCGAATAACTGCGGTCTGATTCAGAAGAATCCCGGCGAGATCGGTTTTTACGGCGAGCTCTTCGATTCTGCAAGCCAAACAAAAATAACCTGATCAGACAAAGATTCATTCGTATTTTGTTTTTTTCTGTATGGAACATAGTACGGCTTTGATGTTACTAACCAGTATAGTTTCAACCACCATGGCTTTGATGACCCGGGAAAGCTTGCGTTTGGGAGGCAGGGAATTGTGTGGGTTATGGATTTCATGGTTATGGGAAGCAGTGGGAGGGGAGCCATCAGATTCAACAGCAGAGTCCAGCATGACAACGGGGCGAAAACAGAGGAAGAACTTGTTCCTGGAAGAGTTAGTCATGGTGGTGACAAAATCGGTAGTGAGAGAAAGGAAGGAAGATAGAGAGTGAGAAGGGAAGGGGAGCGAGGAAGAAGGAGAGTGGGGAACGTGGCTGCAAAAGGCCGGCAAGCAGTCGAGTGTGAAGAGGAAGTGGGCATTTGGATTTGTATTTATACAGTGTTTGAGTTGGGATGGTAAGTACGGTGTCGCCTTCTTCCTTGCCTTTTCTTCCAGACAACTTTTTTCTTTTTTTAATATATTCCAATTTTTAATATTTATTTTTTTGGATCATTTTGCTACGCCGGCCGGGGGACACCTGTTTTAAGTCTTCTTTTTTTTTTTTTTTTGGAAATGAAAAACAAGATCTGCAAAAACACTACTCCTGCCTGTACCTACTAACCTCTGAGGAATGTCTACCATTGGTGACTTGTTTGGTTGAGTGGTGGAAGCTCCTATAATTTTGCATGAGCTTAACAAATTACCTATGACACCCATTTATGCCGTTTGGATAATTTTCCGAAAATCCTAATCAATTATGATTTTAGTTCCTCACAGCATCTTTAGCAAGCCCATTTAAATTCTAGCTGGAATTAATGATGAGTATTTTTTTTTGGATAACACTTGGTAAGTTACTTTTATCATCAGAATCAATAAATGATTGTTAATTTTTTCCAACTTTACCTTTAAATGGGGTTGTGAAGGAGATATAAAAACATAAACGGTTGCATTTAAGCATTGACTGCACAGACAAAATTAACAAATAAATATTAATTATTTTCCATGTAACTTATATTTTGAACTAAATCATTTTTTTTAGAAATGACTTATAATACCACTTCTGGTTATTATTATAAGAGCTAGCTGACAAATTTGAGTAGATTAAGAAAGTTTGTTACCCTTGCTAATCATGTGTATTAGTTAGAATTACCATTTAATGAAACATTTAATATGTGTAACTACTATAAGGAACATTTTAAGAAAAATGAATAACTACAAGAGATAAAATAGAACGTGATCTTATATTTAGAATCAAATTAAAAGTTAAACTAACTTTTATATAAAGAACTGTAAGTAGTATTATACTATGAACAGAAGAGAGTAGTGAATATGTTTTTGTTCAATCAAATGAAAAACAATTATACTTTAAAATGTTAACAGTATTTATAATAAGAGTTTATTATGGAATAAGGCCTGGTATACAAGTTCTCTCCTTTTTATATTGCACAGGATATATTGTTTATATAGAAAAGTAAATATGTTTTAAATATACAAAACGTGTTTAAATTAAACAATTTTTCATGAGTTGACGTGAAATCTGAAGGAAATGCGTAGCAATAAGTGACCGTATGCTCTTTAAATTTTATTATGTATGTTGATAAATCAATGAAACAGATCTTATCTGGATGTGTAAGATTTACTCCAGTCTTGATTCTTAATAGGTCTTGTACATCTATTTTACTCTAAAATTAATAAAAAGGAACTCTTAACAGAAATCTTAATATTTAACATTGAATAATATTAAAATTTTTATTATTAGTTTTGAAATAAAATACTTTATAAAAAAGTAATAAGAACTTTAAATCCTATCGTTTTTTCAGCGAGTAGCGAGTGTTGAAGTGGATGAAGAGGGAAAAGAAGGAGCAACTTTAGAGACAGCCCGTGGGGGACAGGAAATGAGGTATCACACAGCTCATTCATATCCATTGTTAGTACTTAGTATTGATGGGAAAGACATTGTTTTCTTTTCTTTTTTCTTTATCTTTTTTTTCTTCCGTTTTATTTTTGTGGATAAGATACGGATATGGCTTGAGGATCCTGAATTTTAGTTGGTTGGTGGGGTTGACAACATTTAGTTGGCATGTGTTTCTGCACCAATTTTTTTTTTTATAATGATTTCCCCAACAAATTTTTATATATCGATAAATTAAAATTGCCCTACATTACTCTTGTGATTTTTCAAATAATTAATCTAAGGTTATTCCAATATTCTTTTTGTTTATTTATATAATTTACGAGTACACACGCACACAAGCAGGTGTCAATGTTAAATTTGAACTTGAGAATCCACCTAAACAAGCAACTTGAATTCAGTATAACATGTTATTATGTACTAATCATGCATGCATAAATAAGTTTATGTAATTTATGTCTATTTTTTCAAAGAAATGAATGAAAAAGTGGGGGGTTGAATGTCACGATAACTTCATATACACAATTTTATATACTCCTTTTGTCTTTTATTATAAGATTTTTTTAACTAAATTACATGGTTTAAGAAAACAGTTACAATTGTTAAAAACAATTAATACATGACAAATACATTTTTTTTCCAAATATATCCCTCTATATAAATGTGTAAATGTGAAAGAGTAATAGTATGATAAATGGAGAAAGAGAATATAGTAAATGCATCAAACTAGAGGTAAAATAAGTAATAAGGTATTAAATACTCTGACAAACTCAAAGAAGATCTTATAAAAAAAAGACAGACCTATTCAAAAAATTAGATCTTATAATAAAAGAAGAATGAAGTATTATACATAAGCTGTATTGCAAAACGCTATTCCTGAATTGGGATGGAAGCTTAATAAAAATACAGTATATTTGATTTTTTTTTTAGAATTGTTTTATCGTAATTTCATCTGCAAATAAGTAACAGTTACTAACTGGAAATCCTAGTAATAATGAATAAAATTATACTAGTACGGAGCCAAAGAATAACTAATAAAGCCATACAATTTAAAAATATTGTCTCAGATTTACTTGATACGCCCAATGCAATTTTGAGAAATGAGTTTATATATATGTATATTAAAATAAGAAAAATAAATAAACTATATTTACAAGGAAAAGGAAAAGACGTCAATAATATGAGGTGGCACGCGGTTACATGGTCCACCGATGGACAAGCGGGGCCATTTGTACATTGATGACCTTCGTTAATTACTTTCTTTTTTTCTTCTTCTTTTTTGTTTGGGACCAAAATTTCTTTTGACAAAATTTTTGGGACCAAATTGACCGTCGTTATTACCAAACAAATTGTTTGTTTCTCTTATATATCGCACTCTTCAGTGTCTTGGCCTCTTAGGGTACCTTTTTTAGCTTCCCTCCACCAATGAGAAAATTAACGTTATCTGATTACGCGTAATTCCTTCTTTTCTCGTAGGACAGAAAACAATGTTGATGTTATCAAAAAAGAGAGAGAAAATAAAAAGAAAAAAAATTACAATGTTGATGGTTACATGTTATAAATAAAAGACCAGGTCAACACGATACACGTTTGTTCACAAAATACTCGGTCCAAAACTGAGCCAGGGTTTGGGACACGGATGTAAAGTAGTGATTTATAACCGATGTTTCACATAAATAAAACTATTCAGTTCATTATTATTATGTCATACAACTAATTATACTTCATGGTCAACATTAGAAATGTGACACTTTCAAAATAAAGCACATTAATTAATTATTTATGGCTAGCTTTTACACTCATAAGTTTTGATTCATTGCATGCTACCTTTGCTGCTTTTCATGTTAAGCTTCTGTGACCGGCCCGCAGAAAAATTCAAACATGATATTCTAAACAAGGTCAAAAAAACAAGATATTCTAAAAGCTTAACTTTTAACTCGGAAAAGAATTTTGAATCACCGTGTGTGTATATATGTATATATAATATTAAAAGAGCTCTTTTGACTGTTGTCAAAACTTTAAAAAGTGATTTTAATTAAGTTAAATATGTGGTATTTGTTTGTTTTAAAATATATTCTCAGAAAATATATATTCAGCGTATTTTGATAAGCTATTTATGACTTGAGCTAAACTAAACAACTACCGCTCTTTTAAACAGCCTTAAAATAATTTTTTTTTAAAAAAAAAAAAACCTGCCCAAAGTCATTTACTAGAAGAGTTTAATTTTTAGTCCAAAAAAGGCACTTCGTAAGAAGTTGTGTATGGAATTGATTGGTTTGTTAAAAATAAAAGAATGTCCTTCTTATATTTATTAGAACTTGTTTTTAAAAGGGATAATTAATCTCTAGGTCCTTATAGTTTTATATCATTTTTAATTAGGTCCCTATAAAATTTTTTCTTTTTATCAAATCTTTTTATTTTCATGTGTTTTTAATTAGGCCCCTCTATTTTTTTACTAGATCATTATAGTTTTATTTATTTTTTAATTAGGTCCTTTGTAGTTTTAAAAAAATTGTTTATTAACTTTATTCTTTAAAATTAATTTTATTTTTAAATTAATAATTATATAATTGGACAAAATAATTAATATAATGATCTAGTAATTAATAATTAATCATAATAATCAATTATACTTAACTAAAAATTATTTATAATTATATTCTAATTTTAGAAAATTTTATTATTATTTGAATATTATAGTTATAAAAATTAGAATTGAAAAATAAATAATATACACTTTTAACTAAAAATTAAAAGAATATTAACATAAGATTATTATAATAATTTATTATTTACAGAATAAAGAATAAAAAATATAAGAATCTAATTAAAAATAAGGTAAAACAATAAGGACCTGATAAAAAGAAAAATATATATAAGGACTTGATTAAAACAAGTGAAATTATAAGGACCTAATAAAAAAAAATTATAAGGACCTGATTAAAAATAGGTCGAAACTATGAGGACTTGCATATTAATTATCTCTTTTTAAAATTTGTGACAACTTTATTATTGTAACCAATTTTTCTCAATTCTAAAAAAGTGTACTTATTCCCCTCCTATTTACTTGTCCTCATGATAGAAAAATACACAGACCAAGAGTGGGCAAAAAGCAAAAGATGTGCATTCCTAATGGATAGAACTTTGAGACTATAGTTTATGTTCTTCAAACCTTCTGGTTTGAAATCTTGGTCGCTTCTTCTAGAACTTGATTTATAGACGCATTAGAAGGAAGTCAGATCAGCGTACCTTCACTATCAAGATTCACAATATCATACATACATACATATAAGGCGAACCCACAATGAAACACGCAATATGGGGTTGTGAAGATGCTAATATTAAAGGAATGGGAAATGTGTGTGTGTATAGTTTGATAATCTCTTTCACATTGAATTGTGGCACAACTATAGCAACCTAACCCTTCAAAACCCACAATTACAAGACATCTTAATTTAATTCGATCAGTGACAACGTTAGATGACTTCCCTCGGACCATTAAAAACACCTCTCAATCCCTTTCGTATTCAATTTTCATGACGCCGCCTGTCCTCATCACACAGCTGACAGCTTGATGATATTCTTATATACCTGCATTTTTTGTGGTGTTCATTTGCTTGCCGAATCGAGATATTGCTTTTAATGAATATAAAATACAACGGTGGGAATTTTTCATCTGATGTCATTGGAGGATATTATATTATTCAAACCTTTTAACTATTCTAAGTAATATGATGCATATGGTTTGTAGGGTATAGTATAGATACGTATATAGAACAATTGATAAACACAAACTTATGATTAAAGTTTGGCCATATCCGAAAGCACAGGTTTCAGAATTTTCATCTCCAATTTTAATTATCAGCAGCATGAAGCACGAGCTTATCTTTATTTTAATATATACGGCAGAATCCTGCATATATTCGAGGTTGGCTCATTGCTGGCTAAAGGATAAAAGGTCACTTGATAAAGAAGAAATGAACTGGCCTCCACTTCCTAAACAATCTCACTCACTATTACTACGCAATATAGTGAGTTTCTTGTTGAATATGTACAAGCTATGTATATACAAGTGCAACATATACTGTACAATATGGCCTATTGAAAAAAACATAAAAAATCACGTATATTAAAATATATCATAAAAAGCCGCTTTACAGTTTTTGTTGTACAAAATTTCAAACGGAGAGATCCCTTAATGTATTATTTTATTTTTCCTCCCCAAAGAGAAATAACCAGCACATAATTACAGCAGTGGGAATAATCTCTATGAATGAAGAAAAGAATTGGACAGCTGGTATGCCATTAAATTCAACTCCACCGACAACAGTTAGTCCAGTTAGTAAAGAGTCGGCTCATGACCCATAAAGTCGTGATGGTTAGTCCAATTGATAAGGAATCGGCTCATAACCCATAAGATTGTGAGTTCGAATCCCGCTGCCGATGTGAAAACCTTGTTGGCAGGCGATTTGTAAGTACCTCTGTAAACGCTCTTTGAGCTTGGAGGCATATCCTGGTCCTAATGAACCCTTGGGACCTAACTCACCTAAACTTTTATGTAACCAAAAAAAAAATTCAACTTCACTTTAACGATAAGAGATTAAAACACATGCAATATATTTTTTTGTCAAAGCATAGGTATCATCCCATAGGAGGCAATCCTATTCAAGGCACTATTAGACACTAATTGTGGACACATTTTTCAGTAGAGATTTGAACTTTATTTTGTCACATTATAAGAGACTGACCATTTCTGCCAAACCCAACTCCTATTGGTAATACATGCAATATATAAGATCAAGGGACGTGGTTGAGTTTCAAATGGGCTTTCACAAGAAGCCCATTAGAATTTTGGAAATATTCAAAAACATCTCCACAGTTTGAAACTTTGAACGCAAACAAAATTTGACCGTAGCCATGTCCAATCGTGTGTTCTGGCTCATATAAAGCCCAAGTGAATCATAAGAAGCAAATATGCTGTCATTTAATTTCTGTCAAAGAACTTTTATTAATGAAAGATTTGCCAATATATGATCTGGTTCTACGAAATTTCTTTCTTTGATTTTTTGTTTGAAAAATCTATTGGTCACACAAATGAAAGACGAAGTCAACACAATGACCACTGCCAGTCACACATGGAAAAAGTCAAATATGTCCACCCGAAAATTATGTACGTTGTGGTTTGCTTCTCGCGCGATCGCTCTATCAGACGCAGCCATGGCCAAGCCTTCTCTAAAATCACCAAAAAGCACATCTAATGCAAAGTGACCATTTTTATTTTAGACAATCCAATCTTGTTTGTGAATTGATTTTGTTTCCCCGTTCAATAACACCCCCATAACGGTTATTAGCCTCGTGCAGAGTGAACATCTAATGCCCAGTCATACACTCTTCAATATCAAATGTCTTAGTTGTTTCTGTGAAGCCATGGACAATATGAAGAACCCATGCCGTTTTCTCTCTCTTCTTGTCATATGTTTCTTTTTTGGCACCATACCTTCTCTCGCAACTGATACCATCTCTGCAAATCAAACTCTTTCTGGAGATCAAACTATCATCTCATCATGTGGTGTCTTCGAGTTGGGTTTCTTCAAGCCAGGTAAGTCCTCAAATTACTACATAGGCATCTGGTATAAAAAGGTCTCTCAACAGACCATAGTTTGGGTCGCAAACAGAGACAGACCTATCTCTGATAAAAATTCGGCCAAGTTAGTTATATCAAATGGCAATTTGGCTCTCCTCAGCGAGTCTCAAATCCCTGTTTGGTCGACGAATTTGACTTCCTCCACCTCAAAGTCTGTTGTTGCTGTCCTCCTAGATTCTGGGAATCTCGTCCTCAGAGACAAGCCAGAATCTTCAGAAAACTTGTGGCAGAGTTTTGATAACCCGACCAACACCTTTCTTCCTGGTGGAAAAATTAAACTCAACAAAAAGACGAAACAACCTCAACATCTCACTTCATGGAAGAACATTGAGGATCCTGCGATGGGTCTCTTCTCTCTGGAGCTAGACCCGAAAGGAACCAACTCGTACTTAATTCTTCGGAACAAGTCAGAAGAGTATTGGACGAGTGGTCCATGGAATGGCCAAATTTTCAGCTTGGTCCCTGAAATGAGGTTAAATTTCTTATACAATTTCACCTTTGTTTCAAACGAGAATGAGAGCTATTTCACTTACTTCATGTATAACTCTTCTATTATATCTCATTTGGTGATGGATGTGTCGGGGCAAATTCAGCAACTCTCATGGCTAGAAAGCACCAAGCAGTGGAATTTGTTTTGGTCTCAGCCAAGACGACAGTGTGAAGTTTATGCTTTTTGTGGCTCTTTCGGGAGGTGCAATGAGAATTCCCTGCCCTTTTGTTCTTGCTTGACCGGTTTCGAGCCAAAGTCTCAAACTGATTGGGATCTGCAGGATCACTCAGGTGGGTGTGTGAGGAAAACCAAGTTGCAATGTGAGAATCCAACATCACCTAACAGAGAGAAAGACAGGTTTCTGGAAATGCCAAACTTGGCCTTACCTAAACATGCACAATCTATAGGAGTAGGGAATGCTGGTGAATGCGAATCCACGTGCTTTAACAATTGCTCTTGTGTTGCTTATGCTTATGACAAAGATGGCTGCTCAATTTGGCATGGAGATTTAATTAGTCTGCAGCAACTTTCTCAAGATGAGAGTAATGGAGAAACATTATTTCTCAAAATTGCTGCTTCTGAGTTTTCAGATGCTAAACAGAAGAAGCAAGGAATTATTGGTATTGTTATAGGCGTGGTTGGGGGCATGGGGGTTCTCCTAGCAATTTGCCTCTTTGTGACGATGAGAAGAAAAAAGAGACTAGTTGGCTTAGGAAGATCGGTGGTGGGTTCATCGACGGCATTTGGGCATTGTGGAAAAATTATTGGTATTGTAGTGGGCATTGTAAGTGGTCTATGGGTTCTCCTAGTCATTCTGCTGTTTGTGATAACCAGAAGAAAGAGAAGGATGGTTGGAAAAGGAAAATCGGTCGAGGGTTCGTTGATGGCATTTGGGTACAGAGATTTACAAAATGCAACCAAGAATTTCTCTGAAAAACTAGGAGGAGGAGATTTTGGTTCTGTTTTCAGAGGCACATTGCCGGATTCCAGTGTCATAGCAGTGAAGAAGCTTGAAAGCATAAGCCAAGGCGAGAAACAGTTTCGATCGGAAGTCAGTAATATAGGTACAGTCCAACATGTGAATCTTGTTCAACTCCGTGGGTTCTGCTCTGAAGGCAACAGAAAGCTTCTGGTTTATGATTACTTGCCAAATGGCTCATTGGACGCCCATCTGTTTCAAGAAAAGAACTCCAAGAAATTAGAATGGAAATTAAGGTACCAAATTGCCTTAGGAATAGCCCGGGGACTAACTTACCTCCATGAAAAGTGCAGAGACTGCATCACACACTGTGACATAAAGCCAGAAAACATCCTTTTAGATTCTGATTTTTGCCCAAAAGTTGCAGACTTTGGCCTCACAAAGCTAGTTGGAATGGAAATCAACAGAATCCTCACAACCATGAGAGGGACAAGAGGTTATCTTGCCCCAGAGTGGATTTCTGGTGTGGCTATCACACCAAAAGTTGATGTTTACAGTTACGGAATGATGCTATTCGAATTGGTGTCAGGAAGAAGAAACTCTGAGCCATCTAAAGATGGCCAAGTGAGGTTCTTCCCTACATGGGCTGCAAAGGTAGTAATCCAAGGAGGCGATGTTCTTGACCTTTTGGATCCTACGTTAGAGCGGAACGCAGACATTTAGGAGCTGACTAGGATAATAAAACTTGCTTCATGGTGTGTACAAGATGATGAGTTAAACAGGCCATCCATGTGTCAGATAGTTCCAATTCTTGAGGGATTTTTGGATATGAATTTGCCTCCACTTCCAAGATCCCTCCTACTGTTTGTTGACAGCTAGCACCATGTACATCGCTTTTTGGATGGTATGTTCTGCTTTCTTTCCTTTATCTCCTAAATCCCTCTAAGGCCCTTGAGAATTCCTAAAGGGCTTTATCCTGAGAGGAGCCTTGATGAATTTGATCAATAATAATGCGATGTTGTATCCTTTTACGGTGCCAAGATGTCTGTATTTATATTAGAATCAGAATAATGCCATCTTCTATGGCTATTTCTCTATTTATGTTACTTGCTGTACTGGTTTGTACTGGGAGAGCTGAAAAAGGCTATAAATGTATCGGTTTGCATTGAGGCTTAAGTCCCAGGAAAAATGGATAAACATAAACTGGTTATTAAAATGTTTAACGAAAACTGAGCGGATCAGAATGATCCAAGACTGAAAAATTGAAGAAATAACACCAAAAGGGAAGCGAAAAGCTCAATACATTCGTACTATTGAATCAAAAGACTGGATACATAGCGTTTAACCGTCACGGCATGATAGAGAGCAGAATAGAGAAAATGCAAATAAGAGAGGGAATTATGTCACAGAGAGAAGATTACAAATCAATTCCACACTCTCTCCTAACGACCCTTTTTTTTTCCCGGTACAAACTCCTAACGACTTTTGTCCCCCTATTATATGTTGGCATCCAATTCTCTGAGCTTCCACGTGTTTCTCTGATCCTCTGGTTCTCCTTGCGGGCTCTTGGGCCTGACCCAATCAGGACCTGTTATTGGGCCACCAATTGGGCACTGTTCATCTGGGTTCATCACACTGAGTCAATTTACTTAACATTAGGAGAGAGAAATCTCACAGCCTCGAACAAAATTACTTTAAAAAAGAATACTGTACATGACAAAAAAATATTTTAAAAAAATTATACACGCTTATATTCAAATGTAGCTATATTCGTTGTATTAAGCCTCTTTTTTTTTTTTTTTTTTTGGGAAAAACTGAGTGATAGAGAACTTACACTTTTCTGGATAGAAGTCATCGATCACAGAGGAAATACACATCCATTCGTGACCTCTACCACACATTTCTACTAACACTTTCTCAAATTTTCAAAACTTTTCATATCATCCGCAAATGAAACAATATGTACTATATCTCACTATCATAACATGTTCTAACTATTTTCTTCTTCCGTTTTTTCTTCCCTTTTCTTCCGAAATAGCCCTTGCACTGTGCAATATATACTGAGTTACAGACAAATATATGTAATGTAAATATGTATGCATAGATTATTTAGATCATTTATTTTCATTCCAATTAAGTCTGATGGATGAATTTCTTGTCCATCTATTTGTCCCACTTTCTAATTAGTTTTTCTATACAAGCCCGCGACCGGAAAGATTATTGATCAGCATTTAATTTGATCTTTATATACTTATTTTTCTGAAATGTTAATAATGATATTATTTGTGGGGATGGGGGAAATATTGAAATGTTATGGATTATTGTATGATTTATATGTTTCGTTCTAAGTTTTATTATTTTCATAATATGTATGTGTGGGGATGGGGAAAATATCAAAATCTTATATAACTTGTTCATTGTCTGGCTTTTAGACAGGGATAAATTATTTCTATATCCAGGCAATGGGAACATCGGGGGAACTTTCAAAATGAATTAATAATATTTTAAAATTTATCGAATAAATACATCGATTTTTTTTTTTTTGGGGAACACAAGGGTTATAAAAGGAAAGAAGTCAAGCGATATTGGCTGCCATCTGACCTAAAAACCTGGGATCTAGAGTCCCAAGTTGATATAAATAATGATGGTTCAAAGAATGGAGGAGGCGCCCGTGAATGTGGTTCACAATCCAAGGGTTTTCTAGAAGCATAATGACCGGGTTTTTCTCCTTTGACGGTTACCTGTTATATCAATCAAATCACCATTTAACCAACTCGCCAGGCAGCCCACGCGTGTTCAAATAGGGTAATTAATCAGTAGTAACGGTTTATTACACTTTTGCCTTTATTTTTTTGGGAAAGCCAGGCTTCTCTCCACTAAAAAGTGTGGAAATTGCTAATATCAACATAATTTGTAGATTCACAGGACATCATATCAATGAAAAAAATGAGGTGCATGCATATGTTAAGTAAATAATTGCCTGCTAGTCAACAGCTTGACCCTTCTCTCTCTGTCGTCCACACATCTGTCCATATGTATATATATAACTTTTCATTTGATACAACTTTGCACCCTTAAATAACAGAATTACCTCTCCTTCTCGATAAATATATATACATACATGTGTCTATATATAATTATATATCAAACTAGGATTTGTGATTAACTGGATGATGTGAAAGAAATTTGAATATGATGGGAGTTCATCGATCATTACTCCTCCGGTCTTGAAATATAAATTATACTAAAAAATATACCTTATATTTAAGATATGAAGACTGAATTTCAATGCCACATCTCCTTTTGTCCATGACATGCAATGTTTCATGGATAAGCTTCTTTTTTTATTTTTATGAATATTAATTAAATATTTGTGAAAATATGTCTTAGTGTTCAAAAATACTCTACCTTTAAATAATTGAACGCAGCACTATTTAGATTGTGAAGCTAAATACAGATCCCCTTGTCTTCGTCGCGTGTCCTCCCCCACGTCGTCGTACAAGTTCCTTGGATTTTAGTTCAAAGTTCATGTTATCAGGGAAGCACCATTTTCACGTTTTTCTCGTATCCATGTTCCTTTTTGAGACAATTACTCAACTCAGTGGCAAGTGTATTTTTTGTTTCTACTGTTTTTGGAAAAAGCCGAATTGAATGATAACAAAAGTTATATTAAAAAGTTAATTAGTGACGTATGTGAAAGCAACTTCAAAAAACGCGTTTAGGAATTTAATTCACGTTTTATAAGGGCAAGTGTTCTGTGTCATTGTCAACGTAAGAACTTCATTAAGAAACAATACTGGTCGTTAATATAAAAACTCTTTTGATTTTTATTTTGGTTCTAGATATAAAATCTCAATCCAGTTTATCTCTCATATTTATCTATTTTTTGTCAAGGTAATACTTAGAATAATAATAGTTCTAACTAATATACTTGATTAATAAAGATATTTTAGGAAAAATAATACCTTTTTATTACAAATAACTATCCTAACTAATATCTTTCATCTATTTAAATTAGTTAACCAGTTTTTATATTAAAGACCGGATGTGGCATGTCGTAATATGATTTTAATTATGAGGTTTTTCTTATCTCAGTGAGTTTTCTATTATACTATGATTGGGTAGGTTCACTCTCTTTTGCATAAGAAAATCAGAAAATTTGGCCCTATAAAGGCAAATAATTTAGAAATTTTACTAGAAGTTAAACAACAGAACTAATTATGGCTATTATCTAGCGCGAGATATTTGGAGGGGGGGGGGGGGAGGGATATGTATGACTTGGGATTGTGTGTGGCTCAAACGGATGAGGTGGGGTCAAACAATTTATCTCTGGGATGGCATGCGGGGGGATCAAAATCCCAGCGGATGACGAACTGAAAAATTGTCATTTGGCATCATTCTACTTTTTTAGACGGCGCTTTCTTTCTTTCTTTTTCAAAAAATAAAATTACAAATTTTATAATAAAAACAACTCATGTATTTCGTGCCTTTAAATTTTGAATTAAAAAGTGGTGTTAAATTTAGGAAAATTAGCAAAAAAAACCACTGAAATAGAAAAATTACATGCAGGGACCGATTTGTAAAAATTGTTATCAAAACCTATACTAATATCGTCATGGGTACTTAATTGTAATTTTTTTTTTCTCGGTGGTTTTTTTTGTGTGTCACTTTTCCTTAAATTTGTCCATGTATTGTGTGTGTGCATATACATATATATATATATATTATATTTATTAGTATCAATATCAACTACGAAATATATACGAAATCACACAAATTATAATGAGAGGATACTTTTTTTTTTTTGGTTGCCATGGCAGCTGGGGACACTTCATTGAATGAAAAATGTCGGGGGGATTTTTTTTTTTTTCTGGGACCTTGTGGAACCAAATACGGTGAAAGGGAGAGATTCAACGTATAGAATCCATGAAAATCGAAACAGGGTCAGCACCTTGTCCAACGTTTTATTTCGGCCAACAGAACCTTGCCCAACGTTGAAGCATACTTTTCCGGATGCCAAATACCATTCCCATTGTATTATAAGTTGTTTGTAGGAGAAAATTTTAGTTCCAAATATCGGTTAATTGGAGATGCAAAATATTTAAATCAAATTTTTTATATTTATTATATCAAGTTATTAATGTATTCTAACTTTAAAATATTAGTATTTAATCAACATCATTTAATTATAAACTCGTGCCAAAAAATTTAAACACATGGCCATACGTTATTGGAAAACTAATTGACATTAAAAAATATAAATAACTTGACGTGAGTATTTTTTATTGGAGAAGCATTTTTATTGACAATTTTTTCAATTTTATTCATATTTAATTTTTATTTGAAAGAGAGAGAAAAGGAAAGGTGCGAATCATTTTTAAATATAGGAAGAAAGAGTTTTAAAAATCTTATCAATTTACCGTATACTTTATGACTCAGTGAATTGCAAGTCATTTATAATAGAAAAATTTGCATTTTTTTTAAATCTGTCTTGCCCCTTCCTCTTTATTATATCCAATGTATACTACTACTTCTAAATCATGATATAAGATTTATTTAACTAATTTTAATAGATTAAAAGATAATTAAATTAATTATTTGTAAAAAAAATATGTGTTGAATACCATCTTGAAATTTCTGCATTGAAACTACACTTTTATTCTCCATACAAATTTTCGTAAAATGTGCAATTAATAGAAATAATTTAGACAAACAATAATAAATTTTATATTTACAATAGGGCAAACTCTTCTTCTAATTTTTATATTTAACATCAAAGTTAATATATACAAGGAGATATTTCTTAAATTTATGGGGTATTTGGGTAGAAATCAAATTATAATTGTAAACATGATTTTACAACATACAAAATATGCTAGAGGAATTTTATCTCAATTTGTATAAAAAAATCAATTTGTATAAAAATATTTTTTTAAGTGTTTCCAAACACTACTTGAAAGAGGGGACTAGCTAAAATCATCACCTTTTTTTTTATTTAGATACTATACTCTTTAAATCCTCCTAA